AAACAAACAAACAAACAATTTTACACAACACAACCAACCTTGTCTTTTTCTCCAATCTCAAAAACAACAAGAACCAAACACAACAACAATCAAAAGGTTAAGTCGAACAACAAGTTGCCTTGTTGTTCGAGTTGGCTGAGTCCCCAACCTTGATGGTCGTGCCCTGTCCCGGGAGTGGAGCCACGGCCTCCTGAGCGGCCAAGGCCTTGCGGCTAATAATCTGATAAATGTCGAGCAAGATTGTTTGAAACGCCTTCTCGACATTTAGGGCCTCAAGGGCGGATGTCTCGAGAAAGGAGAGGCCTTCCTTCTCGGCAAATAGGTTGGCGTCACGCTCGGCCACGACTCGCAAGTGGTTGAGATCCGACTTGTTGCCGGCGAGCATGATGACGATGTTGGAGTCGGCGTGGTCCCGGAGCTCCCTAAGCCAACGCTGCACGTTTTCGAACGTTTGGCGCTTGGTGATGTCGTAAACGACGAGCGCCCCAACGGCCCCTCGGTAGTAAGCGCTCGTGATTGCCCGATACCTCTCTTGCCCGGCCGTGTCCCATATCTGGGCCTTCACCGTCTTGCCTTCCACCTAGCCCCCGAAAAAATTAATATTTATTTTTGTAGTCATTATTATTATTATTATTAGTATCTTTTAAGAATGCATGGATGAAGATATGTGAATATTATTATGTATCTATGTAGCTAATGGAAATTGATCACCTGGAGAGTCCTCGTAGCGAATTCGACACCGATGGTGGATTTGGATTCCAAACAGAACTCGTTGCGTGTGAATCTTGACAGGATGTTGGATTTCCCGACACCCGAGTCGCCGATCAAGACGATCTTGAACAAGTAATCGTACTCGTGATCTACCTTGTACGCCATTGCTTGTTCCCTATGTTCACTAAATTTGAACATATGTAATTTGTTAGCAATAATGCAAGGTTGTATGCATGATGATGAAGATGAAAAAAAAAAAAAAACTTACCACTAATTAACCAATCTTCGCATGGCTAATCGTTGCCAATTGAATTGCCGAGAAAGAGAGAAACAAGATTCAATTTTTCCTAACTGGAAACAAAAGAATAGTTACTAAAAATGAAGAAAGAAAAGGATAGTTATTTTTTGTTTGGGAAAACAGAATAAGCGAAATAATAGGGATATAAATGGCCATTGAAGGTTTGTTGCTTGTCATGGAACTGAGATCTATATATGGTAGGGAAACACTGCGGTATGTTACGGAACCATGACATCGAGATTTGTAACCATTAGATTATCATGCAACTGTCGGGGATAGTTGATCTAACGGTTACGAAAGCTAATTGAATGGTTCCTTTTGTGACCGTAGCATCTCCCTATATGGTAAAGCTCTCTTATCAACCAAAAAAAAAAAAAACCTTTGAACACTTTGGAACTTTTCATGTAACTCGAGACATAAACTATTGCATAATTTTGAAATCACTGAATTTTGAAACAAAGTCACGATGATTGTTTTTGCAATCTAATCAAGATTATTTTTTATTTTGCTAATGAATGTACGACATTTAAAATTTTAAAGAATCGAATCTCAGCCAATGTTTTTACTCCGGGCACATGCATTGATCCGTGCAGACGTCTGGGTTAACAATTCAACTGTCAATTATCGCGTCAATTGTTTAAACATGGTAATTAAATTTAAAATTTTTTAAATTATATTTATAGTATTTTTGTTATCTAAATATATATAATTTTAGGTAAATTTTTATGCTAAAGGTTTAATAATATTATATCTCATAATAAATATTTACCACATAAAAATGTATACATTTTTTTTTTTCAAAAAAATATTTTTGTAAATAATATTAATTATAGGAATCTGGTCAAATGGAGTTGTCATAGTCGGGTTGATGTTTGGGTCAACTGGGTCAAGTTCTGGTTGACATAGTTTTGACTAGATCTATTGTTATTCGGACCAGTCCCGACTCCGAGTTCATTGAGTCTCGAATTGGTCCGGATTACAAAATATTGATCTTGGCTTATAAATTCGATGGCCTTATAAAGACATGGACGGCCATTTTGGTTATTCTATTCTATAAAACATTGACGGCCATTTTGGTTATTCGATTCGATAAAACATTAGTATGTACATAACTCGTGTTGTTTCACAAGAGGTATGATTAAGGTTATCTTCATTATAAATCTATACTTATATAAAAAAACCATTCTATTTACTGAAAATAGTAGGCAGAAAGTCAAACTTAATTTATGCATACTATTTCTGTTTAAAGCATTTTATTTAATATTTATTTTAATGAAATATTGAATAAGATTGCTGGATCTGAGTCAATTTTGAAATCGCGTTGTTTGGCATGGGAGGGTTATCACATTCTATATTTGTTTTAAGCATATTATTTAATTAATTTATTTAATATTTAATTGTTTTATTCATGACATCTGTTTTATCAAAAAGATTGTACAAACAAACAAAAAAAAGGCAACTTTGCTCGGCAAAGGCAGATTTGATTGTTCAAATAAAAATCATGATTTTTACGTCATCCATAACTAATGCAAATGTGAAACCTAAATTGAAGGGATTTATAGATAATTGTTATCTCTATTCAATCACTTGATTATTTTCAATATAAAAAGAGACAAATTACAAATTAGTGAATCATATATTACCTAATATAATATCTTAACATTAAGGAATAAATTCATAGTATTATGTAAATCCGTAACTCATATTATTATATCAAGAGATAAATTTATATGCTAAAATTAAATTTTTATTAGTATAAATGTTTTAGCGAGATAATATATTAATTATTTTACAAGTTAGCCCTAACATGCTCATATTTAATGTTCTTGCTAAAAAAATTAAAAGATGTGGAAAAATTATAATAACCCTATTACTTTTTAGACTTAAACGGACAAGGATGTGAAAATAACTCATTTAATATCTATGTCTCATGCATCACACGAGTACGTACTACAAATTCGTTGCCAACGTACTGTTAACAACAGACGAGGCAAATGACCGGTCAAACAATAGGGCCACTATTTATTTCAAAAAAATACAGAAGCGACCAACGATCATTGGCCGACTTAATATCAAAACTGAAACTGTGGCTGCTTGGAATTAAGCGAACCAGAGGAGCCGTCTGATTAAATGTACCGTCTATGGGAATGCGCTTCAATACAGACGCAAACCATAAATGGACAGGACGGAGTAACCTCTGATTGAAATAATTACCAATAGTTGAATGTATAATCAATAAGAAACATGATTTATTCGCTTACTAAATTTACATACTCAAATATGCATATATTTATCCAAAACTTTCGTTCCATTGCATCTAACTGGGCCAATGAATGTGACTAAGAAAAATGTTACAGTCTCGTTGCAGAATTATTTCGTCGAGATTTGTAATAGTAGATACAAAATGTGTGATTGAATTACAACGGGAACCTATGAACTAAAGATGATGATTTCAGTTCTTACAAAGTGAACTAAAACAGAATCGAAATTACAAAAGAGAAGCGAAAAAATTGCCGAGGCGATTGCTCTTTCCGCAAGACGAAAACGCCCCGTATAGTGCTGACGGGTACAGGCGTCTCGTCCCCAAAGATACAACGGCTTACGTCTCGAACGTTGTAGCACACCAGAATTCGAGGTCCGACGAACTGGAATGAAGTCGAGAACAGAGCAATATGATATGATGCGTTAGGCTTTGAGAATAATCAGAGTGCATGAAATGTTGTGTGTTTTCTCTACAGCTCACTGTCCTATTTATAGGACTTCCACATCTTGAGGGAAACCAGCATTCACATCTGCCACTAAAGGCAGAGATAATGGGCAGAAACATTTTTCAGGTGTTAACTCACAATTAA